ATGACGAACGTGTATTCCTTCTTTATATATATATAGAGAATATGTATTACTTGATTTTTTACAATGAAAAAAGAAAATTAGACATTAATAGCTTATTTGGTTTAAAGAAAGTGGATGTAACATTATTTCAATCAATTAAATTAAATGATTATACCAACAAAATAATTTGATTAGTTATAATAACCTTTCATCTTCTCTACTCCCTTCACTCTATTCACATAGGCTTTAGCATAGATTTAGATATTCCTAGCTTTCTATCTCCTTCATTCATTGGAATACACTTATCCATCCATATGGTATAAAGTTAAGATATTTTTTTTATGTTGGAGTCTACAATAAAAAAAAACAACCTTTTTTCATTCATTAATTCACCCCACCAATATCTTATGCATTGGAAAGATATTTCTAAAGTTTAGATATCCCAATTGAGTGCATGATTGAGCTCATTTTATCTGCATCTCCTTGTTTGCCTATCATTAATTGCAACATTCCCGATTCACGATGCATGCTTCCAAATGGTAAACGTCATCTCTTCTTTCCCTTTTAAATTAACTTTTCTTTATAAGATGATATAATTGATGGCATAACAATAATCATGAATTATGCAGATATTTTGGATCCAAATTAATCAGGCTTTTGCACACACGACAAGCATAATGCTACATAGTTTATTTACTTCCAAAAAGCTAGAGGCTTACTCCTCTGACTTTCACGAAGATTCTCATCAATCATATAAACACCAAACATTCACGACTCTTCTGTGCAAAATGGCTCTCTCTAGTCTCTACCTGTAAAATCATTATTACTTCCCAAAAATGATGTTTTTTTTTTTTTATTAGTTGAATAAAATTTATTAATTCAGATTAAAAAAGATATTCGAATTCTTAAAACTCTTAAATTTAATTCTTGTAACAACTCAAAAATTCAAGAATACAAGCCATATTGCTTTGACAGCAATTAATCTACTGCTCTTGCACACAATTCAGATTATAGGACCGATTATAAAATGAAAATGTGCAGCACCTAACTTTATCTTTTAACCAGAAGAAGACTTCATCTGTATTGTTTCAAAAATCCTTTCCACTGAAAATTTAGATGTAGAAAAATATCAACCTATTGCAAGAACCCCAAAAATGAAGTCTTATTTTCCTTTTTTTTTATATATAAAAAAAAAAAAGCAATTAGCATTAGAGGTGTTTTGAACTAATTTTAAATAAAAATTCACCTCAATTGGTCCTTAGCCATTAAAAGTTTAAGATTTTGTTTGGTATGTATAGCTATTTGAAAACAGATAACAATTAATAGTAAATATTGAACAATATTTGACATTTTTTGTTATTTATTATTAGAGTTTTTTTTTTAATGTTAAAAGTATAATAATTATACTTTAATTTGATAATAAATTTGTGTTGAAAGAATAAAAATAAATCTTTAATTTATTAATTATTTAATTAAATTTATTTACATGATAATAACATTAAAATTAATGTTAAATTCTATATTTTTTATATAAATTTATATATAAAAAAAAAAACCTTTAACTTATACACTATGTATAGATATTAGAAAAACCCATATTATTATTCAAAATAGCTTAAACCAATTGCTAGAATCTAAATCTCTTTTATATACCAAATGTCTTGACTTTAATAATATTAAGAGCTACTATTAAAAGCTACCAATTGCCTTAAAAAATAAAGAGAAAAAGAGAAAAAGGAGGAGCAGCTGACGATGCTAATGCAGACGTGACAGGGACACGAAAATGGTTGTCCTGGAAACAGCCGACCCAACACGGACTAGTGGGAAACATCTCTTTCTATCAACTGAGTAGGACATCACTGACGTTTTGTTGCTCTTTTCGTAATTAATCATACTTATGTTTTTTATGTTTTGTTTTGCGTTTATGAAATCTTTGAGAGATCACGTATTTTAGTTAAATTTCGTACTTATTTAATATAATTTGTAATTTAGTTTGTTTTGATGGTTTTGTAGGTTTTGTAATTTAGTTTAGAGATTTTTTTTTTTCTGAACATTAGTTCTTTGGCGGGAGGGAGATATTTGTTTTCAAAGCCTAGGTGGGATTTGAACACCTAACCTAAGGCCCAAGCACTACTGGCGTGAGATTGAACCACTGCACCATCATGGCTGGTTCTAGGGATTGGCCTGTTTGGTTTCTCCATATGTATTGCATTTGACATGACAATATAAATGAATTTATTAAAATATAGATGTCATTTTGTAAGTTAAGTTTATGATTTAAATTTTATGATTAATATCTAAAAAAAATAACTTTTTTAAATTCACTAAACTGATATTAGAGGGTGCATTTTAAAAACCATTCAATGAGAAATTAGTATTAAAGTGTATTAAAGTTGACTTAAAAACATTTTAACCATCTACACAAAAATATATATATATATATACATATATATGTCTAATCTATTCGACATGACATGTACCAATAGAGAAAATGAGTTCCTCACCTTCAAAGTGCAAAACAAGCTATTCATTTAATGAGTGAACAAAAAAAAAAAAAAAATCCTTACTCCTAATTAAAGAAACTGATATCTCTATTCTGTAGTAATTGTGGGGCAAATGGATGGGGGAACTAGATATGACCCAGAAGTTGGTGGAGGTGGAATCATGATTAAATAACTACTACTCCATGCATTGTAGATGTTGTGGTAGTGGAGATGAGGGGGTTACTAATTAATTATACTTATTATCAAGACATGCAAATATGAAACTGACCCCCAACTTCTTGTTAAGTGTTCATGCATCATTCCACATTTCAACATCTAAATGTACTCCATTTAAGTCTATATATCTTGTGCATCGTTTAGTTTTGAGGCATTTTTAAGTCATTTTTTATTAGAAAAACAAAATTAATGTTGGGGTTGGCATAAATTAAAGACATATTTTTATTATAAACATACATAAAAAAATAAAAGTTGACATTAATTTTAGTGTTGGTACCAAATTGATAAATTTAATTAATTAATTGATAAATTAAACATCAACTTTTACTTTTTTAATACAAATTTATAATAAAAAATATATTTATTATATTATTAATCTATATTCTTAACGTACAAGTTAAAAAAAAATCTTTAATGTTTTTAAAGAAGTATAAGTGGTCCTATTTTAACCTGATAAAAAGTTAAAAACGCTTTGTAAGTACAGAAGTACTCTTTACACAACGACTAGCCTTCTTCATGTGAATTTTTAATGCCTTGTGATACTTGATGATGCCCTCCCCTCAGTCAGAAGGATAACTTTACCCAATCTTGGAGTGAAAATGAACATCCAGCCTCTTTGTCCATGACCCACGCAAAAGTCTTAGCTTGTATTCAATCTGCTCCACAATAATACCTATTTCTTCCATAAAAAAAATAAATAAATAACAATAATACCAATTTCTTAAATTGTATTGAATAAGATTTGATTTAATTTTGATGCAGGGAAAGCAGTAAGAAACTATAATATACCGACAACTACATGGTGACAATATTACTTATCTCTTATATATCGTGGTGCCATGCTTTCATAAGGGCTGTCCCATTCCATTGTCACAATCCCACAAAGCTGCCTTTCTTCTCTATCCATCCAACTTAAAACATGAGTTGGCAGTTTGGGTCTAGGTGGTTGTTTCTTCTGGATTCATATTCTCGCTTGTTGATTGATGTAAGTGGGATATCGAAGAAAAAAATCCTCAAAGAGTGGAGAGAAAGATCAGTTGGCTAAATTGTGAAAGATCGAATTTTTTTACATTAAAATAGATTTTTTATTCTACCAGGGGTTTTAATTGTTCTCCCTATTTAAAATTAGCTGTCTTTTATTTTTTTTCACACTTATATTTTTATATAGTAAATAATAAATAGTAATAAAAATAGAAACATTTATTATTAACGACAATACTCTAAAAGACTGTTTTGGTCTCTCAATGTGAAAGCCCTGGGGTTTTTAGGCTGAGAGCTCTTATGTGTTCACGGACATCCTTGTTCTTTATCAAGGTTTCTCTCTTCTCTCCTACCTCTTTATGGACGTGTCAACATTTTTTCTTTCCCTTCTTCGATTAGTCGTGTTGTCCTTGGCTTATGGTGATTTTACTGGCATTTGGTGTTTGCTGCGTCTTGGTCTTTGCTTCAGTGATTTACTGAGGCTTGTAACATTCAGATTTTGCAGTTATGGCTAGTGTTGTAGGTAAGGCTCATGGTCAATAATAGAGTTTGCTGAAAGGTTTATAGAGTCCTGCAGGAGCTAGGGGTATTGGTGTGTGGTGGGGGAGGCGATGGTGGACTAGGGGGGACAAGGGTGGAGAGGTTGCGTTTGGAAGCCAAACTAACAATTGGAAAACTTTCTAGGAGAAATTTTCTTTTCATTGAAATATTCCGAAATTGGAAGCCTCAACATTAAGCTTGTTTGGCTTGAGGGGAGAGAAATGGACGGAAGAACCTTATTTATTTAGATAACAAAAAATTGGAGGGAAGAGGGAAATGGTTTTCCCTTATTTTACCATTTCTTTTACCTTTTAATCTAACTAATTTTTTTTTTTTTATTTCCCTTTGCTCGTCCCTCCTCCCCTCTATTTCTCTCAAATTATATAAGAATAAAAACTTTGGTTCTAATAAAGGAATTTTATTTTTTAAAAAAACTCTTGAGATTTACTTGTCAAAGTAGATAAAAATTCTTTAGCAAGGGATAATATACATCTTGACATCAAATAACTTCATAACCACAATATATTGGTCTGTTTTGATTTCAAGGAAGCTGAAATATTCCCAAAAGTATTTGTTATTAGAGTAATAAGAAGATGATGCCCTGTTTGTTACAAAAAAGATGTTAAACACACAAGGCACCAAAAACATCGAACGGGTGAAAAGGAAAGATATCGAGCCGATACGTATAACTAAAAGAACCAGAAGATTTTTGAACAGTAAATAATTTTTTTTAAAACAATAATAAAATAATATAAAGACAAAGCACAACAAACAATTTATTATTAACTATTATCAAACAAAAAATTTACTATATTTAATTAAAAACATGGCTTTCGAGAGCGCTCTCTCCCCTGACCCCCCTCCCTCAGCGGAAGAAGATGATTCCCTGGCGAGAAGCACCAAGAGAATTAAGGACGATCTCTCCCCACCCCCCTTTTCGAATGCTGATCCCCCTAACCCGGTGGTTGCCCCTTCTGTGCAGAAAACCTTTAAGGATATGTTGATTGATGGAAACGTTGAGTTTTCTCCATCTACTATTACGCTTGAAGAACTTATGGCTGCAGGTAGCAAGGTTCCGTCGCAAGCACCGATGATGGCCAATGATGCCTTGGGTACTCTTAAGAAACCCATCCCTAAGGCCTATATTCCTCAAGAGATCTGGCAAAGGCTTTGCGTACCATGGAAGAATTCCTTAATCATTAAACTGCTAGGGAAACGAATCAATTATCATCTTTTGTCTTCAAGACTCTCACGGGAATGGCAAACAGAAGGCGAGTTTACAGTAATTGATATTGGCCAAGGCTATTATGTTGCTAAGTTCTCCTCTTCAGACGATTGCTCTAGGGTCCTCACTGGAGGTCCTTATAAATTTTTTGATCATTATCTAGCTGTTCAGCCTTGGGAGCCTAATTTTCAACCTTCCCGTGCGAAATTGCCTAAAACAGCTGTGTGGGTTCATCTTTATGGTGTACCTGTGGAATGCTTCCATGAAGCTGCGGTTCTCTATCTTGGTAACAAACTTGGCAGAGCCATTAAGGTTGATAAAACAACCCTCCTTGCTACTAGAGGTGAATTTGCACGTGTGTGCGTGGAGGTTGATTTGAATGAATCTTTGCCATCAATGATTGATCTGGATTTGGAAGGTCTTCCCCAGTCGCTAATCCTTGTCAAATATGAAGGGCTTCATAAAATATGTTTTGAGTGTGGAGAGTTCGGGCACAAGAAAGAAGCTTGCCATTACAGGCAACCACAAACACAACCGCAACCGGCGACAGCGTCGGCGTCATCCCAGCAGAGTGGGAGGAGTTCTTCTATAGCAAGATCTTCGCCGAAATCCTCGGCTGAGCGTGAGGACATCCCAGTTTTGGTTGATAATTGTATGACGTACGGATCTTGGATGGTGGCGAAGCGTAAACCACGGAAGATAGCTCAGAAGCAAAATTCTCATGGGGATAATATTCCTATCCCCTCCAAAGGGCACGGCATTGAAAAAGGAGGTAACATATCCAAATCTAGTGGGCCACCCAAGTCGGTTAATCAAGAGCAAAATATTAACACTAATAATAGATTTGGAGTTATTGCATTGGAAGAGGAAACTCTGGTGGAGATGCCTCATTTGGGGGCTCCGGATTCTGGAAGTTTTCCTACTCAGCATA